ATGGTCATATAGTATATGATATTTATATGTTAATTTTAATTAATTTGATTTAATTAAATATTTAAATTAATTTCTTATTGAATAGATTATACAGTATAATATAGATCGTACAATATGATAATCTAAAAAATTCAAGTGTTTAATTTCTCTGACCCCTTGTTAGCGTGTTCAGTTGCTTAGCAAACATACACCTAATGCATAAATAACTCCATAAAATAAAAAATACATACTCACTTAAAATACTTGGTTAGAAAAAAAAATTTTTTTATATTAGATTTAAACAAGAATTTGACTCTTAATATAACACAAATGAGAAAAACGATTCATGAGGCCGACCCCATGTAGTGGGATTATAGCCTGATTGATTTCAATCATTTTTGTACGGGACCTTGGGGTTAAATTTCAAAATAATAGCTGGACTATTTGTATATGGTCATTTTAGTCCCGGGGTATAACCTTACTTCAATTTAGTCTCTCGATAATAAAAAATTTATCCCAAAATGATCTTTTTGGGATTGAATTGAGATCAAATTTATATCACAATTATAATATGAGGGACTATTTTGGATCAATTTTATATTATCGAGGGACCAAATTAGGGCAAAGAGATACTATGAGACCAAATTAACCATAAACAAATAGTTTGGGGGCTAGTTACAAATTTTCCTATTTTTGTTGATTAGCTAACTTTAATACTAGCTACATAAAAATAAATAATATGACCGAGTGGCATGACAAAATGAGATTAGGTGTTGATTAGTTTTTTAATTAGTATTAGCAATATTGTGAAAATCGGACCACATATTAAACTAGAAGAGGAAGAGGTTCAAGGTTGACTAATTTGATTGGGGTTGAACCTAATAAGGTAATAAATATTAATATTATTTAAATATTATCTAAATAAGATAAGAATCATAAAATTATAAAAAAAGAATACTTAAATAATAGTTTTTATAATTTTAAGTTTAAACACATTCAAATTTTAAATTTGATTCATAGTTAAGATAATTTTAATATAAATTATTATTAATTTATATTATATTCTTTTGGTGATAGATTAATTATAAGTATTGATTTATTTGTTTTCGATGAGCTTCATGATCTCAAAAGTAATCTATTTCTTCATTCTATCTTGTTGGTTGGTGGGTTAAAAATTGAATCGCATTTGGTCAAATTAGAGGAATACAATTGGTAAATATGTTAATATCTTACGAGTTGTTAGGTATGAGGGTCGTACAAGACAAGTTTCAGGTGTAATAATTTTTTTTTTATTTGGTTTGAGGTAAAATGAATAATTATATAAAATTAAAGAAATGGTGGCAATCGTGGGTTGTGACCGGCGGTGGTAGTTGGTGGCGATCGGTGGGTCGGCTGCGGGGGGGGGGGGGGGGGATTTGTGGCGGCAACAATGGTGGCCTGAAGGGGTGGTAGTCAGTGCCTGACTATAGTGGGTGGCCGCTAAGTGTGGTGGCGATAGTCATCAGTGGTGGTGGCTGACGGTTGGCTTGATGGTGGCTAAGTGTGGTGGCGGT